GTGGGGCACAGGGACGGGGCACCCGAGCGGGACTGGGCCTGGGCATGGGGCGCCCGGGGATGGGGGTTTTGCTGTGGGTCCCGACTGCCACGTGCTGGTGGCACTCAGCAGACTCGCTGCCCTTTGAAAGGGTTTTATCTTGTTGTGTTTTTAACGTAAAAATTGGTGTTTCAGCCTGGTCTGCAACACATTTCCAGTGTCAGCTGAGGTTTGCTGCCCTTTAGAGTACGCTGGTTGGCTTCCTGCTATCCGCCGAGGCCTCCAGCTTGCACACAGGATGCCTCCCCTTGCTCAGTTAGCTATTTTAAGGATTTTACGATTGTTGACTGAAATTCCAGCTGTAAGAATCACTATTTCAGTCGGTCAGCCTGCTGCCCTTGTGGGGCAGAGAAATGTTTCAGTTCCAACTTGTTCTATGCTGCGTCTTGTTTGTGAGTTTTGGATACGTGGTCAGATCTTGTTTGGCTATGAGTGAGTTGTGCCATTTATGGTTGTATCAGAGCAGCTTTTGAAAGCTGTGCTCCTGTGTGCATGTGCCTCACAGTAGAGGTGCTAGGTCTTTCTGTACAGCCAGCATTAGCCCTTCTCTTCCTGGGTGCCCCACCTGTAGGTAGTACTCATAAGACAGGTGATACCTGCCTGATTCGACAGTGTTGGCAGGATGCAGATGTGCTCTCCCATGTATGATGCTCAGATACAGGTTTAATTGCCTAATTAAGACTAAATATGTGGTAGATACTTTGTGTGCTGATCTCCCCTCACCCCTCTTTCTCTTGCAGTGCCTGGATTTTTGGAGGTTGCTTTACACACTTCTGAAACAAATCCACGGAGGCAAGTGGACAGAGTCTGATGCCATAGGTAACCCGGTCAGTCTGGCTGACCATCCAGTTTCTATCTGTCCCTGGATGTACTGGTACTGGTTTTGTAGCACCTTTCCTTTGGCTCCTTGCTCCCTGTAAGGAGTGCTCTCTGTTTTGAATACCTGTGCCACCAGCTTACTGTGCATCACAGCTGGGCAGGTAGGTTTGCTCCCCTTTGACTTACTTTGTCCAGGAGACTGGGATGTTCTTGAGGCTCTTGCTTCCCTTGGATATTTTTTTGCTGCAGGCAAATCTCTGCAATGATCTTATGCATTCTCAGCATCTGCAGGGGTAATTACAGAAATAGATTTCTTTTCCCTTTGATTCCTTCTTTCCCCATTCCACATGTGACACATGATTCTGTGGTTAATTTTCTGTCAAGTCCTATGTCAGAGCTGTGAATTATGAACAATAAAGGCAATGTTTTGAATTCTAGAGAAAAAGTAGACTGTGTGATTATTTTAGGGGGACCATGAATATCTTTATGGACAGGGCCACTAGTCCAGAAAGGAGATGATTGTGGTTGGCTTCTTCCAGTGGCAGAGCACTGTTTACTTCTTAAATGTATGTTATTCCAAGTACAACACTAGTCCCCAGATTTCTCTCCTGAAACATGTCTATCCTAGAGCCTTTTCATTAGAGGAGGTTTTGAGAATGGCATTGTGATGAATCAAGGTCTCCTCAGACCAAAACCACTTAAAATCCACTGTTGTCCTTGAAAGCAAAAAACCCTAAGCAACATTGTTTAAGCCCCTGAAGAGCTGGGAGTCTGGTGGCTCTGTAAATGGAGTTAGAAAAGGTTAAGCACTGTGGAGTGTGGAGCAAAACCAGCATAATTTTGCTGGTAGCTCAGCAGAAAATCAGTGTGGCCCTGTGTTACTCACAGGGCTGCTATTGTCATTTTGGCTGTTTTTATTTTCCCACTTAGCCACAATCTACTGTGTATGGTAAGTCAATTTATTGACTGACTCCTACAGCTTTGTGGATGTAGTCCTGTACAAATGCAACCTCATTGAATCCTGGCTGCTCCCTTACTAATTGCCTGTACCCTTTGGAGACAGGCTTTCCATGTGCATGTGGCAGGTTGCTGGCTCCAGAGAGAACAAACCCAGCCTCTGCTGGTGGCTTGTGAGGCAGGAATGTGTGGTTCTGTTCAGAACTACTGAGCTGAGTTTTAAGAAATTTGTTCAGTCACAACTTGGTGATTAAAGGTGAAATTCAGGCAGGAGAGCTGTACTGTTTTTCAAGTGACTCTAATCACCTTTGCTTAGCGAGTGAATGAGTTGTCTGCTGCGAACACGATCAATATTATACGGCTTTTCTTCTCTGTCCCTGCTCTGGTCTCTTGTGTATTTAATGCAAATGAAAGAAGCCTTGGGCATAGAGACTAAATAACTTTCTCAGGTTTGTACAGGATACTGAGAATTGAAACTGATTCCTTTAATCCAAGCCTAGTGCTTTAGTCCATGGATCAGGCTTTCTTTTTTGTGCTGTTTTTGTACAACCTCTTAATTATCCTAACTGAAATGAGGAGAGCAGCAGTTGCCAGATTCCAGAGGAAGGCCCTGAAGACTCCTTCGGTATAAGGGTTGCTGTGTGCATAGGAACAGCTTTTTGCAAAAGAGAAGCCATTCTCCAGTGGTCTTGTATCCTTTATTTTTTCAAAAGAACCTTTGAACTTTGGCTGGTAGTTCACATGTGTTGCGTGGGGTCACAGTGGTTCTTCTCACTATGAAGAGCAAGACCTACATTTGAAGGTGTTTTGGCTTTGAATTAATAACTCTTATTAGTCAGTTTTTTATCTGATTTTGTCATGTGGGTGAAGTTTAGAGTAGATTAAGTTTTGCTTTGAATAGAAGAGCTCCTAATCATTCTCTTGTTATGGTTGTGATGTGATACTGTTCAGCAAAAAATTTCCACAGCATGTTTTTAAAGGGTTGATGTATTTTATTGCCTAGCTAGCAGAAAATAAAACAGTTGTAAAATTGAACATAAAAACATCCACACAGTTTGACGTTTTAAAATGTAGGAACTATTGTGTTCTTGCAAAAAGAAACCAGAAACCCCACTGAAGCCTGCCAGTCAGTGGTTATAAAATTCTGCAAATGACTCTTGGTTTCTTGTTTTGGAAGGATTTTTTTTCTTCACACAGTGAAAAGCACTTATTGTAAACTTTGGTGGGAAGCCATTCATACACTCCAGCCTCTTAAACATGTCATAACAGTGGCTCTGTCGTCAGTGGGGTACAAGTCAGAGTAAGCTGTGACAGTACTCTGGACATAACCTTACTGATGAAGCCATTATTAATGGGTTCATGCTGCCTGTTCTTCACAGAGGCTGAGAGCTGACAAACTTGGTTAACAACCTGACAGCCACACCAGGTAGAAATGCAATGTGCATTTAACTACTTGGAGCAAGCATTTATTTTCTGTAGTCACAATTCAGTTTTTATAGTATGGGAAGGATGTCTGGAGATGCAATATATTTTTGTTTGTTTGACAAATGAAGCAGAAAATGTTCTGCAGTAGTAATTTCCCATAATACCACTAGCTGTGCAGGTGTTTCTTGCCTGAGTGCATGAAGTAATGTATCTGTGTCTGTTCCTGTACTTGGTTTATAGTTCTATTTTATCCTGCCAGGGTAGTGCATAGCCCTTATTTGAATATCATCTTATAAATCACTGGAAATAGTCAGCAGGATTCATAAAGCAGAAGAGCACAGCTCAAGGATAGTTTTTAGTGCACTGAACCCTGAGGTTCATCCCTAGCTTGGTTTTATGTGCTGAGTAATGTGCATGGAGAAGGGGATTAGTTGGAAGGCCTGTGCGGGTCTTTCTCTAGGAATTGCCTAATCCTAATGAAATGCCATATGAAGATGTTGTCAAAGAGGAAGGGTTTGAGTGACTGGTGTTATCTGCTGTCTGATTGATAGCTTTTCCTCTTGGCTGCTCGTTATGGAGGAATCCATCTTGGTCCTGGGTGCTCATATAACCTCTACTGCCATTTACCTGAGCACTGTTGCCTTTTAAGTAGAGCGCTGTAGAGCTGAGGAAAACTAGAGTTGAGGAAAAAAAGGTGACTTCTCGAAGGTCATGGAAAGGCTCTTAGGTCCATGCTTTGGCTGCTCACCCACAATTCCTGCCTGATACTGAATACCATTCGTACCCTCATGTGAGGGCAGTGTAGCACGGAGGGAGACATAAAATATGTGGAGATAAAGGACCAGAGCAACACAGAAATTCAGTTGGCGAATTGCCTTGGTGGATCCGTCCCTGAGTGGTATTTCTGAGCAGGAAAAGGATGATAAAGGGAAAAAACCACCTGACTTGCTCTGTATTCCTTCACTTTGCGATGTGATTTTTTCGAGGAGCTCCCTGAACTGCAGATGGCAGCATGCGATGCTTGTTTGCTTTGAAAAAGGAGAAAAGTATGTACTGATTTTTCCTGCTTTTGGAGTATTTTTACCTTTACCTGTTATGGCAGTTCCTTTCTTGAGAAATGCACAAAGAAAAGGAAAGGACATCGTGAAAATCCTGCTCCTGTGAGAATGTTCAGGAGTGATCAAAATAAATCTCTTAATAGGTGAGTGCTCCTCTTGTGTGTGAGGGATTGGAGTGCATATCTACAGCAAGACGTTTAGCAACCCACAGGAATTTCTGCCACCCTGACATTATGAAGGGAAGCTGCTTGTTTCACTCACAGGTTCTGCAGAAAGAGCAAAGGAGTGATTTAGGTCTTTGGATTTCCTCTTTGTGCCTGTAATGCAGAAACAAGCTATGTTTAAAATTACCATGTGTCTCTGCAGAAGCCCTGCTATGCAAAACATTAGTAGTTCTGCCCTGTTGTGTCACCTGCTTAATCATTCTCCTGATCTTGTTTTTGGTTCTTCAGTCATGATTAATGTCTTTTTCAGGAATTCATTTGTATCTTTCACGTGGCCCATTGTGTATTTCCACTCCTGCTGCTGAAGATATGTAGTAATTTGGTAACAGTTTCAGCTGTGTACTTGGACTGAGGAGCACTCTGGAAGTAGATCCCTTGGGGTTCTGCACTCTTTGTTTCCCTAAATCCTAAAGCTGATCAAACAGTGCAAGCAGTATCTCTTCCTCTGGTTTGTCAAGGTGCAAAGGGCTTGGTGGCTCGTTAGGCCTTCAGCTCCTTCCAGCCTCAGCAGAGCTATGACAATTTGCTGCTTCTTTGAGGTTACTGCCATAGGTCAGCTTGTAGATCCTCCCTGTGTCTTGGCTTTGTGTTACTCCTGGTGGGTAGGACTCCCTTAGCATTTTGCAAAGCAAGTTAAATCAACCTCTCTTTACTGTGGGAGTCTCTTGTAATTAGCAAATTCCTTTTGATAGCAACAAGATTTTTTTCTTGTTGGGTGTTTTGAAGTTGGTCATTATGTGGTTTTTGAGCTGCAGCAGTCAGTGCTAGACACAGAAACAATGTGTGTCCATGCTAAGAGATGCTTTTACCACAAGTGGCAAGGAGCAGGCAAAGGAGTATGTAACATGATGAATTGGTGAGTGAATTCAGGACAGCAGTGACAATCCCTGATTGCACGAGGTTTGTACTTCCTGTAATTTTTGTGTGTACTTGTTTTAGGAAATCTTGTGGAGATATTGAAGCATTACATGGGAAAAGGGGAGCAGCTTTCTTCTTTGCTTTGTAAGAATGCCTAAACTGCATCAAACTGTAAATTCCTCAAGTGCCACCCAGCTGTGACAGCTGTCAAAAGTGAATGCTCTAATAATTTACATCTCAGGCTTCCCAATCCAGAGAGGATATATGTGTGTTTCATAAGCTCCCATGAACTCCTGTTCTGTAAATCCAGTTCCTCCTTGAGCCTGTGTAACTTTCAGAATCCATAGTGTCCCATGGTCAGAAATTTCAGAGCTTTGCTGTATATGTGAAGACACCTCTTTAACTTGTTTTAGCTCAGATGCTTGCTAACTGTGGTGGCTTGTAGTTCTTGTATTTCATCTTGTGCAATCAAATTATCCCCTCTTCACTCATTCTACAGCACTCATGGTTTTGAAGAGTTTTGTTGTATCCATTCTTGGTCATCTTGGCATACTTCATCAATTCTTTCAATGCAGCTGTTCTGTGCTTGTGATTGTACTTGTCGTTTCTTTCCAAATCATCTGTGGCCTTTATAGGGCTGCAAAAATAAAATATCTCTGTGAGTTAGAGATGTGAGGGTCACAGTGGGTATAGACATTGATGATAAGTTGTTGCCCGTGTTCTGTTTAGTGTCCTTTCTAGGTTTCTCACATTGAGTTTGCTTTTGGATGCAGGTGAGAACCAATTGTGTTATTGTCATTAAAAATCTTATCATCTGAGTTTGTGTTTCTGAGTCCAGTGATCAGCTCAGAGTCCATTGTTATGTCAGTAAAGTTAGCAATGTTTCTCTCCTTGTGTGCATCATTTCTCATTCATTCTAAAAATAATTTTATCTGTCATTTTAAAGCTTGGACTCGTGAAGTTCTGCAGTGCTTCATGATCTGCCTGCATTCCTTACTTCTGAGCAATATCACACTAGCACCAGGTTTTCTGTCACTGTCACATTGTCTGAGTGTCATTTTGAGTTGTCTGAACAACAGCTGTTTAGCACAGGGCCCTCATATGAAACCACTGTTTGTTCCTGCCCTCTGCTTCTTGTCTGCTGGGCACTTGTCATTGATTCGAGGGCATTTCCTCCCCCTCCACCACAGTGCCTTTAGTTTGTTTGTGCTAGTTGAATCCCACTAAGAAGTCTAAATGTCCTGCATTGGTTGAATCTTCCTTAATCATTTTGCTTGTTGTTGCCTTTGGAGAACTTGAGAAACTTTTTGAGCAGGACTTCCTTTTACAAGTCTTGGTTCTTTGCCCGTATGTGTTGTTTGTCATTGTGCCCCCTAATTATGTTCTCTGTTATAGTTTTGATTTAGTACAGAACTGAGGCTTCCTAGGCTGAAACTATTTTAATAATAACTTCCTCTGTGTTTCCTCAGTATTTTACAGTTCTGTAGTACCTGTCTTGTAGCTGTCAGGTAACATTTGCTGGTGTGAAGGAATATGGATCAGCTCATTCCTGAGAATTTAATAGCCCATGTGGTACGCTGTATTATCTCTGTCTGCTCACTGGTGCTCAGAGATTTGCAGCAGGCTGTGAACCTATCTCTAAATTCCACTTTGATTCAGGAGTAAAGTGATTCAGAGTGTTTACTAATTCATAGCCTGCTTGGTGGCTCATAAAAAATGAATAGGTGAATTGGAGTCCTGTTATAGTGGGGATGGCTAGTTACCTTTTTTAGCCTTTGTTAGGCTCCAAGAGGTTGTTACTGGCTTTGATCTCAACTTTGAATTTCTCCTTTTCCCTTAGCAGTAGTTCTTATAGATCAGAATGGGGCAGCAGAAAGAAGGGTTTTACCCTTTACCTCCTGTCCTTCACCAATTGTTGATAAAGACTGTAGTCCCCACTGTCTTCCACTAAACTGAGACTTGATTAAAAGTCTTGCTCTCAGAGGAGGCAGCAATTTCTGGAACTGAATGGATAAACGCATTGACTAGTGCAGTGTGTTACTCTCGATTGTTTTCTTCTTTTCAGATAACCAAATTAAGTTTGTAAAATCAGCACTGTGGTACCATGGCTATGGCAGGCCAGAACTCTATCAGCTCCCTGCCGACGGCTCAGCGGGTAGTCGGGAGCTGCTGCTGGCGTTTTCCTGGCTGCTGCACAGACTTGGCCTCCTGGAGCAGCTTTTGGCTCGGAACAGAGTAAAGACTGGGGATGAAACCTCTGTGTGCACGGTGAGCATGTGTGTCCCCCTCCACCTTAGCCTGCCCATAAGTAATGTCCTGTGACAGCAGCTGTGTTATCTCTAGTGTAATGTGTGGTATCTTGGTACACTGACAAATAAATTACTTACTCCAGCTTTAAAAACAACTTACAGGTGCCAGCATCTGGAACCTGTTTTCTTTCCCTTCTCTAAGCTTTCTGTGTGCAGGTGATCTGGGTTCCTTCTCTTTTTCAAACTCCCACCCCTTCCTGAACTCCATGATTTGTACTTCCAATATAAGTAAGGCCAGTGTGGAGGAGTGCAAGTAAGTGAATGTCTTCAGTCTCTCTGGTTCTGAGTTCTGAGCTTCCACACTGTACCGTGTGTGGTTCTGCAGTGCAGGCAAACAGATTAGCAGTGAATGCTGGGTTTGTTGGCACTGGGTAGAAGTGGTAAGGGTAAGGCCAGTAGTGCTTCTCAAAAACACCAAGATCTCAAATGGCAGCTACTGTTCTCTGGGTAGCTTATGACTTTGTAGCCTCTTTGAGAACACAGTGGGGTATGTTGTTTTTTCCCCTCAATAAAAAGGTGTTAGTACATAGAAAATCTGCTCTGAAGTAAGCTAAGGATAGCTGTGTGTCTGCTTTAGCTGCAGTATATAGATATAATAAAAAAAAAGACCAAAACCCACACAAAAGAGTGATGAGTAAAATGTGACATGAATTCAAGAAGTGGGGCAGCACCTATGTTATTTTCTCTATAAGTCTTAAGTTTTGCATTTCCCAAAAAGGGATGAAAGAACTATGGAAATAACTGTGTTATCTCTTGTGGCCACATGGATAAGTTTGTTGGTGTGTCTTTCACTACAATTCTAACCTGCTGTATCTGTGTCTCCAAAAGCATGGAATGCATATTTCATGTTTTTATTCAGTAGCTGTCCAAAACAATGTTTGGAAAGGTTTAAGAGTCTGGAAAATATTTTTCAATAGGCCAGACAAAAATTTTATAGACTGGAAGTTGGAGTTAGGTTGCGTATGTGAAGCTCATTGTGTTAATGGAAGCATTTCTTGTACAGTGTTCATCCAGCAGTTTTCATGCTCCAATAAGAACAGTGGAAAAAAATGCTAGATTGTAGTTAGAGCATTACTAGTGGGTCTTGTGATTCTCCATCACAAGAAAATTAAAACAAATGGAATTTTGAAGGACAGGTCTTATCTTTTATAAATTCTTGTAAGAGCCAACCAAATAAAGATCTAGGAACACATTGTCAAGGATGTAAGGAGGTAATGGTGGGAGAGGAGCACAACTCATTTATGGCCAGATGTTGTGTCAGTGTAGGTTTAGGTTGGATATTAGGAAAAGGTTCTTCACTGAGAGGGTGGTTGGAGGAAACAGTGCCCCAGAGAAGTGGTTACAGCTCCAAGCCTGACAGAGGTCAAGAAACACTTGGACAGTGCTCTCAGGCACATGGTCTGATTCTTTGGGATGTCCTGTGCAGGGCCAAGAGTTGGTCTCGATGATCCTGTGGGTCTCTTCCAGCTATGAATAGTCTGTGATTCTTGGTTAGCAAGTCAGCTCCTTGTAAACCACTGAGGAAAGCCTGTTGTTTGTTGCATAAAAGTGTTGGAGTTTTATTATTGTTAGATATTGTTATTTGATGGTTATTGTCATTTTGTGAAATAAACATGTGGCAAAGCTCATCAGTCAGGCAGCCCCAAAATCATAGGAAGAAGGTGGTGTTCTCACTTCACTACCTGACATCCTGTAAGTTAAAGTACAGCTTGAACAATTGAAGTACTGGATTTTTAGACCTGGGAATGTTAAATATCAGGCATTATGGTACTTCAGCTTAAGTGTTGGAAGATATGTTACAAATTATAGGGCCGTTGGTAAATATGCCAGAGATGTCTCTGCTATTTAAATAAATTGAAGGAAAAAGGAAAAGGAAGAGGGGGAAAAAAGCTTCACTTGAGAAAGATGTCTCAAAAAAAAAAAAAAACAAATAAAAGAAATGCTCTTTAAAACTACTGAAATTCTCGGCTGAAGAAGAGCTTGAAAAATGTTCCACTGCATGGAGCCTTTTTAATGATTGTAAACAATTGAAAATACTTCAGAGAACTGAAAATGCTGCAAAACAAAGGTCCATGATACAGTATTTGGTTCTGTGCATTGCTGAGATCTCTGCCAAATGAGCAAAGCATGTAAGCCAGTACTTGCTTGCAGAGTATATCTGTTGGTCTACTAGTGAGGGTAAATTTGAAGAAAATTCTTACCCTTTGTCTTCATCTAGCAGAAAATGACTCTCAATAACTGTAGGCATAGCGGTAGTTCAGACTGATATTTATGTGGTTTGCCTTTAAAATTTTGTCAGAAATCACAAAAGTGAGCAGGGTCTGTTGCATGAGAAGAGAGAATGCAGCTAATCCCTAAATTAAGGGTACAATCATGTTCTGTCTATTCTTTCAGCCTAAGTTTGAAACAAAGCCTGCAGCCTGCTAAACTGCTGATAATATGCCAAATACCCAACGTATCAAGGGCCAATTAAATTAATTAATTTCGTTTCAGATTACCACTCTCTGGCCTTTTTTTCCTTTGCAGTTCCTTAGCAACACAGTTTTCTTTCCCTGCAAATTGAACACTTCCATCAGCTCTGAAGGGTGGTTATTTATAGAGGGACAAGGGTATTCATGACACATGATGGACATGGAGCTCAGCCACTGCATTCAATTCATACTCTTTAGATCCTGAGCTGGGAACAGCTTTCAAGAGCTGACTTTTACATGCACTTACATCTTCAGAATCCAAAGCTAAATGATTCTTGTAGTTATAAACTCAGCACTGGTGGTAAGAGGTAGTGCTTGGTGTGGCTAACGTAATAAAAAAATCATCTTGAGGTTGTTGTTGGTAAGGGTAGGTATGGTCAGTAGCTTGTGATGGTGTATGGGTTGGCTGCTTTGTATGTTAGGTGAAAAAGTCAGGGAGGAAGTTAAAAGAGCAAACTGGAACCTGTGTTGCTGTGCAGGAGGAATGGGAGAGGGAGGAGGGGATTGGTGGTGCGTGTCAGACTCTGGTGCTGGGCTACAGTAGTGTCTGTCTGTTCTCTGAATTTACTGTGCTGATCCATCAGCAGCTTGGAGACTCCAGAGGCAGCGAGAGCTCAAACCTTACATGGGCCAACTCTTTAAAAGAAGTCATCACTAACTCTATTAGGTCTGTAAAGACTTAGGTACAATCTGAATTGGAGGTTCACATCGATTTACTGAAGTGTCTACTTGGGAATTCTCTCCTGTTGTTACTGCCGTAAAGCACCGAGAGATTAATTGGTGGACACGGTCTGCAAAGGCTTTTAACACCCCTTGTGGATTTCTGTCTCAGATATGCACTGTCATGATGTCAGTTTTAGTGTCTTTTGTTGCTTTGGTGATCATGTACAGGCAGATTGTTCTCAAGGGCTGTTCATTGATTCCTATTTACACGATAAAAAAATCCTAGTGTACAAGACACATCTGAAAACATGTAGGTGAAACACAGATTTCAGTTTCATTGAACTTGTAAGGCACACCTGGGAGGTTCTCATTCTCTCTCTTTGAGAAGCAGATAATTGATATAAACTTGCCATTTTAGCACGTTCAGTATTTGACTAAGTTTTTTTTACCTTGCCTTTTAAATTTTAGTGACATCATCCCAGCTTTCTCCAAATCTGTGATGGTTTGTGCAGGTAATAGCAGTACTCTCTGAGTACATATCCTCTCTGTCTCCAGGGTGGAATACTGCCTGTACTGGCATTATTTCTATAGCTGAAATTAATCTGTGTGCCCTGTAATTTAATCATGTGTGGAGGCTGTTGATTTTTTTAGATGAGCGTAGTGATGTTATATCCCTCATTATCACCACGATACATTGTACAAACACTGGTTCTTGGCTCCACTAATTCCCTCTGCCTGCTTCTTGCCCTCTGAAGGAAACTGGATGCCTCTCCCCTTTTGTGAATTTATAGTAATCAACAAATAAAGCTATTATGACTATTGTAGTTGGAATTCATGCATGTGTCTCTAGCATGCCAAAATGTACTCAGTTTAATTACTTCTGGTAGGGATAAAACGAAGCTAAACATGCCTTCTGACTCTTAGGTTTGCAATTTGATTCATCTTTTGTTTGTCATGGTCTAGTTTGGCTCACTGGCTGTTTCCAATATAGTGTAAGGCTTATGCTTGGTCTAATCTTGTTGTTGAAATGAGTTTCTTTTACAGAAAACTTGACAGTCACTGCTGTTCCATAAACCATGTTATTAGAGGAAAATGGTAACGTAGCAGCCAAGCTTGATGTTCCCCCCAGCAGAAAACCAGGAAACCTTTGGCACTAGTTTCAGTGAAAATAAATTTTCTGAGTTTTTTTCCACCTCTTCACCTATTCCAGTGAGGACGGAGGAGGGAATTTTATTAACCTTATTGATTCTGACTCAGAACTGTAATTACTTTCCAGATCTTTATGGGCTATATTAGTCTGTCAGCTTTCATTTTTTGATTTCCCTCCCTTATTCCCTGTGCTTACACATCTATTCTCTTTGTCCTCCTGTCTTCCTAGTAACTCTCAGCATTTGTGTTTTTGCCCTGTTTTGCCGTTATTGTTGCTGGATTCAGTAGCTGTTAAGGAAGAGTCATCCACAAAACTTAAATAGAGGGTCAGGACCCCTGAAGTTTCTCCTGCAGAATTTCTCCTCACCTCGGTGTGCCTGACAAGTCTGTTGTAGCACTCTGGTTGCAATGCTACCCACCCTGGAAAGACATCTACAGAAACTAAGGGGGAAAATGCTTGAAATTTTGAGTTTTTGCCTTTTTACTTTCTAAAGTCACTTTGTGGATAGGTAACAAACTCTGAAGTGTTGGTTTTTGTCTTTAGTTACTGACATTGCCTGTAGGCTAAAACATACTTTGTGAAAGAGATTATTAAATTAGGAATCTGTTTTTGCCATACAAGAAATGGAGCACGCTTCAGTTTGGACTCTTGAAAATACACTTTTATATTTCTTTT